TACCATGAAGGGTCTCAATGTTGATTTATTTTTGCTTCCCTGCTCAGATTTCAGAGTGATAAACTGTACTAATTGGAAATTTAACACCTCTGTGAAAAATAAAACATAACAAAAAGTGAAAGGTAAATTATAAACTGGGGAAAGAGACATGCAAGAATAACATAAAGTTATAAAGAATATAGTTAAAGAATGTGGAAAAAATGTCTACAAATAAATATGAAAAAGACAAACAACCCAACAGAAAAAAAAACAAAGGATTCAGAGAATTCATGAAAAGGAAAAGCAAAATGGCCACTATACTCTATGTTTCTCGACATCACCAGTAACAACAGAAATGTGAAACAAAACAGCAGTGAGATACTACTATATCATACCTATCAGAATGGCAAAATTTAAATATCTAAAAGTTTTTGCCTAGTTTATATGAGGATATGGAGAAAAAGGAGTGTTCATATACTGCCAGTTGAAGGGGAATTTGGTACAACCACTTTGCAGTTAAATTTGAAACTATCAAATTCCACTCATAGATATATCCTAGAGAAACTCTAACACATGTGCACAATGATGCATTTATAAGAATGTGGTTGTTGTAGCACAGTATAAAATGGCACAAAAGTGAAAGTAACCTCATTGTCCATCAATAGAATAAATTTGGATATATATAAATTCAGAGTATTCAAAATAATATATAACATAAAATTAGTGAACTAGCTCTATCTACAGCGACATAGTTAACTCTTAAAAGTATGGTACTGAATTTTCAAAAAGAAGTTGTTAAATTATATATAGAAAACAATGCTTTCAATATGACACTTTGGGCACATTTCAATATGACACATAGCTATACTATATATAGATATACACTATATAGTTATGCACTGAAACTATAAATAAACCCATGAGAATAAAGAACAACAAAATTAAGAAAGTAGTTACTGCTGAGGAGAGTATGACAGATTGATCACAAAAATATCCCCAATTCTTCTCCCCATACTGTGTCCATTCTTTTTGCCATGTGACTTTTGCAGCACTTCTCATCAAAATGTGGAGTCTATTTCCACACTTCTTGAACATGGAATGGCAGGTGGTCAATTCTGAGTCTAGGCCTCAAGAGGCATTGCACGATTCCACTTTCCCTTTTCCAACCCTGCTACCGCCATGTGAACATGTCTGGGCTACTCTCCTGAAGGTTGAGAAGCAGTGAAGGAAAGTCCAGCTGTCCTAGCTGAGATTATCCTAGTCCGAATTCCAAACATGTAAGAGAGACTAGCCAAGATCATCAGAGCCGCCTACGTAACCTACTAATGTAGGTCTAAAGACTCACGGATGAGCTCAGGTAAGACCAGAAAAACTGGTAATGTAACTCATAGAGTTGTGACGAATAATAAATGCTTACTGTTTCAGCCACTGTTTTAGAGTGGTTTGTTACTCAGAAATAGTTGATACAAGGAGGGAGAACAAAACTGGGGAGGGACAAAGGGAGAGGGATTCAACTATAGCTTTGATGTTTTATGTCTTAAAAAAAGAGAGACTTGACGCAAATATAGCATAATGTTAAAATTTAACAAGTATAGGTAGTGGATACATGCTTGTTATATAATTCTCCTAACTTTTCTGTATGTTTGAAATATTTCACAATAAAAGAAAATTCAGACAAAAGAATAAATGCATCAATGTGCTTCTCTAGACAAGATAGCCAAAATGATTTTAAAAAACAAAAAGACATACTTTTCCTATTACTCCTTCCCCTCTCACTGCCACCCCCCATCCCCGGCCCTCCCCTGACACACACACATGACGTGCACACAGCAAACTAAGTAGACTAGTGATTTCTGAGTTCTAATCCTCTTCTCTCATCCCCAGGACATCTTCCCTGTACCTTCCAAGCATTTAATCTTCTAGCCTCAGTCATTTGTAAGAACAGTAAGCATCTAATCAGCTTACTGACAAGAGAGTCACAAGAGATGAGCTAGGGATGCATTTCAAGGACAAATTCTATATAGCTTCTACATGGGGAAGGAGATTTTAAATTTCATAGCTACTTTATACTACTGTTTTGTCTAAAATATAGATTCATCTGATAAAAATGTGATAGTCCATCCTGCTCCACTCAAATACAGGGTTAGTCACCTACCTCGTGACTTCCTCCTGGCCTTCTAACCTGCCCTGTCGTTTCTGTCTGAAGTCACTGCTACTGGCACAGGTAACTTTCCGTCTTTCCAACAGGAAGATTTGTGCTTGACCTATTGAGAATGACAAGGGCTCTCAGAGGATACCCACTCAATGCCAGAAAAAGGCAGGGCTAAGCAGTCTGTTCTCATGGGTTCACATCGCTCTTGGCCCAATGCACTGCTCATGTTTCTATTTTGACTTCCACAGCACTCTATGCCCACCGTATTCTGTACAACTGTACATCCTTATTATATGCTGGCTGGTGCTGTGAGTTGCAATGTGTTCTTTTCCCAATTCAATTAGGCTGTAAACTCCTTGAGGACACAGTGTTTTAAGCAACTCAGTATCCTTACTATCTAGTGAAAGGAAGGAAGGAAAGAAGGAGAAAGGTCAGACAGGAAGGAGGGAAGGAAGGAAGGGGAGACAGGAAGGAAAGAGGGAAGGAAGGATAATAGTGGCAAATATTTATAGAATGACTGTATGCCAGGTAGTGTGCACTTTCTTGTTTAATCCTTCCAACTATCGAGTGAAGTAGATACTATTATTAAATTTTTCTAGTTTACATATGAGGAAACATGCTTGGGAAGGTTAAGTAATATGCCCAATGTAACAGCCATAGCAAGTAAATCAGGGAGGCTGTACTTGAATCAGGTTTGTCTAAGGACTGTGCTCTCCATCTCTGATGTTATACTGTCAAGAGTTTTGAGCATAGATTTGCTGATAACAAGAAACCAGGAACTCATTATAAAGAAAGAAAAAGGAGAGAAGGATAGAAAGCAGGAGAATGAAAAAGGGAGGAAGAGAACCACCAATACATTCTCTTTCTGCAGATGTCATACCTAACCTGTGACAGCATGGTTTCTGCTTAATTCCTAAACATCTCCGGGAAAGTTCTGTTTGCTTCTCTGGTAATGTGTTCCAGGTTTCATTCTCCATGTGCCAAAGATATCCACAGACAGCTCTCTATGCTCTCTTACCTGTGTGAGAAGACACATACACAGTTGATTTTCATGCTGTGAACACTGAATTAGCCAATACTGAACCATTACTACTGGGAGAAATACAGGGCTGGGTTCCCGCAAGCCTCTCATCACATTTCATCAGCTGATCAATACATAAACTTTTTCTAAGTCTTACTGTTTAAAGACACCTTACTGTTTGTTGATTCATTAACAATGAACTCAGGATCAGCAGCACTATAACTCATGCCCGGACAACGCTTATCTAACATACATACTTTCTCCATAAGTTACATCACAGCCTTCTTACACTTAGAACACTAGACAGCTCTTCAGCATTACACTTGGGGGCTACTTTAAATAGCAAAATCACCAATAAAAAGCACAAAAATGCAAAAAATGTGGCAGTAAATAGACTGTGAAAAGGACACTTGTTTATAAGAGCTGGAACAAGAAGGCAGAGAGTCACCTTGCTCCTCTTAGCTAATGTGTGTGTTGGGTGACTCGAATTTTTCACTGCTCTGCACACAGCCATAAATGATGCCAAAAGTGCTGCCAAAGGTCCTCCAATTCATTCTGTGGGCCAGTGACAACATCCGTACGACTTAGACTTGATGAAACTATTGCTTTTGAGGATGATTCTGTGCTTTTGTAAATGACTTTATTTTGTAGTTACATATAAATTATAGGAAGTAGGGGAATTAGTAAAATATTGAGTCCACAATTAATGAGGATTGGCTATACAGAGCAGCAGTCCCCAACCTTTTTGGCGCCAGGGATCCGGGCTCCTATGAGAATCTAATGCCCGATGATCTGAGGTGGTGTTGCTAGCGCTGGGGAACAGCTGCAAATACAGATGTTCACTTACTCACCACACTCACCTCCTGCTGTGCGGCCAGGTTCCTAACAGGCCGCAGACAGGTACGGGTCCGTGGCCCGGGGGGTTGGGCACCTCTGATACAGAGCATGAAATTCAGCCAAGTCTTAGGTCAGTATTAGAAAGTCTGATATATCTTAGATTTAGATATATTAGGAGCCCTATTTTCCTGTGGGAAAATGGGAAAAGAACAACTAGACAGATGTGGAGTGTATCACAATAATTTTAGCTTTGTATTTAAATAGGATATCGCAAGCACATATCAGTGCTGCAGGGACCCTGAGGTGGCTAGCCATCCCTTCTCCTGCTTTAGTTGAGATTTTGTTCTGGTCATTAGAAATCGTCAGCATCACAGATCACAGAAAACCTTGCCAAGTCTTTTTTTTAATCAAATAGTTCTCCAAGTCCCATTGCCTTTGTATAGCCTTGTAGAGGCTGGATCTTGCTTAGCATTGCACCTTTGTGCATGGAAGAAACTTGGCAAACACTTGTTTATTGAATAGGATTCTCGGGGTCAATCTACTACTTATGTTGTCCTCATCTCTGCCCTCCCTTTGTAATGTACTCTCATGTAAATATTTGTCTAAAGTTGTGGTCCCCAGCTTGCAGTTCCTTGAATTAGTGGTCCTTAAAGGTGTCTTAAACATGTCATTGAGCTATTTAAAAAATCTTTCCAGAAATACATTTCACTAGGATGAAACCTCACACGTTAAATAAAATGGCAAGGTTTTGTTTTTGTTTTTGTAAATTTGCCTGGAATTATATGATAATCCTATGTAATGATACTATGTATCACTTGCTAATACTGTCTATCACAGCTCCCCAGACATGTCTTTGATTAACAAAAAGACTACTCCTCAAATGATTTCAATTTACTAAGTAAAAGTTTCGAAACATTTTAGGGAAATATGGGAGGAAATGTTCTTTGACGGTGAAAGAAAACTATTGATTTAAAGGGTTCTGAATACATGGCACCTTTGTATAAACAGGCGTTGTAAAATTATTTTTATTATTTTAAAATTAGAATTTTTACACTGCTGTAACTTCTTTTGAGCAAAGCAGTCCAATTTCATCTAAGTGAGAAAAGTAAGAGAAAATCAATCATTTTCTCCTAGAAACTGAAAAATAGCCCCGAAGATCCATTCTTTAATCTTTGTCCATTCTTTCAAAACAGCTCTGCTCATTCTTCTCGGGGAGCAGGGATGTTTCCATAAATTCATCTTTCCTTTGTGGAACATCTTTTCTTCTTGTGAGAATTAGACACAATCCAACTGAAGTGATACAAATAAAAATGTGTCCTGTGCCAGCAAGAGATCTGCCAACTCCCAGACAAGCTAAGTTGTTTCTGTTGAAATTCTTTTTCATGCATTTCTTCCATTCCAGTCACATTGTCATGCTGAGAACAGCTGGTGCCATACTTCTTGACCAATGGCAAGGTTACAGCCTTGCTTGGTTTCTTTGAGAAATGGGGAGAGAGAAAAGAGCAACATGGAATGGAGACATCAGGTTCAACACCCCTGCCTGATTTCCAAAGCATATTTTTAAGGCCTTGAGGATCAGATTGTCATGGTTCAGGAATACATAATTATTTATTCATGCTAGGGCACAGGATCCTACACCCCTACCTTCAAAAAGCTCTTGTGGTTAGCTTCTCTCAACTTCTGTTTATCACTGCCTCCCTTCATTCTATTTCTGCTCCCATCAGCGCCTTATACCTGGAATGCCCCTTCTAGGCTCAGCCTACTGAGGTACCTGTTTCATATCATTCATGAAGTTCCTGAAACTACTCACCTCCAGGAAGCCCTCTGAAATACTCAGAAAAAGGTCATAATCTCATCCTTCCCAATCCAACTACAGAACTCCAGATTACCTCATCTACTGATTCACTAAAATCCCCACTACTTAAATTCATGTAATTAGTACCTTAAGTTATATATTTGTTATCAGCTTAGTGATTGGTGTGACAGGATGTAACATAAGCATTTTTCTAATCTTACCACTTTTGTATATTTCATAATAGTGCCATGTGAAAAACGAATATTTAATAAATTCATCTTGGTTTCATAGGCTAAATAAAAACTTTAAATTGCCCCAGAGTGAAAGCCACCTCTTTATAAATAATTTAATAAAACAGTCGTGAGGTGACAAAGGAAGGGCTGGACAGGAGCATTCACCAAGTTTCTGTGAATGAGCCCTTTATTCCTATACCCTGACCCTGGATACACCTTGAAAGCTGTTGGCTGTATACTTAAAGGAATTCCGTGGAGAGATTCTCAATACCTCTTTTTGAATGCCTTTTATTGATTGATCCCATTATACCTCCAACTTGACCTATCATATTATAAACTAAAACAGTCTCTGACGGTGCTCTGGCACACCCCTACTTTCTACCTCTGTCTACCTTGCTTTGCATTATAAGCAGTCGTAATGGTAACAATGGTGCCAGGAAAAGTTTCTTGATCTCAGGGCAGAACACCAGGTTCCCCTGAAAAGGATTTGGAAAGTGTCAGTGTAATGAACATAGTGTGGAATAGGCATTCTTAGTGTTGTTATTTGGACAGTAGCTTCCTCGAGTAGAAAATCAAGACATATTCTATGCTATGGGAAAGCATTTTACATGCCAAAAGAGTTTCTATAAGTTATTACTTTTAGGCATACTAATAGAGTACTTTTTTTTCTTGGAATCAAGATATACCAACTTATCATGATGTCAAAAGTCCTCTATTTCATTCCACAGGCCAGTTACAATGTCCATACAATTTGAATTTAATGAAACTATTGCTTTTGTAATGCCTTTGGTCAATGTAGCCACTACTCATTGTAAATGTTATAGATGGGGTACATAAGTGATACGTAGAATCTTAGAAAGTAGTTCTCCAAAGAAAGATAATGGAAAAGAAGAGGAAACAGATCAGAAATGGGGACAGAGCTATCAGCAAAGAAATGCAAAGAGAATGGTTAAGGAAACAGAATGCAGGAAGCAGGAAGGAAGAATGAAAATGACCTTCATTGTCTGTCACAATGCTGATAAGCGCAAAATTACTGCCAGGTGCTAGTTTAGACTAACTTTCCATCGAGCTTGCAAATAAACACATTATTTTTTTTCAGCCCATGAAATGTTATTAACAAACAAGGGCAAGGTTACATAGGGAAGATGAGACTGAGGTAAAGTATCCAGTCTTTTTCTGACTCTGAACGTAATAAAACTTTAGAAAGAGTATATTAAAAAGCAAGATTTTGAAATAGGTGAATTTAAAAGAATAAGTACCATGTCTCATATATTTGTTTCTGCAAAAAGATTTTCACAAGACAGCTATACTTGCAATGTATATTTCAGTGCTTTTTAATTTTCACTCGGCAAATAAAGTTGAAGGAAGATTGTATTTGTATGCTTAGTTAACCCTTGCACCTGATATGATTCAAACCTTTGAGGAAAGACAAATGTCACTATGAAAATTATAGTGAACAATCTCCTACATCAAGTGTCCACGTGTGATACAGGAAGTTTTAACTTACTAATATTCACAGGTAAGGCATTACAATGGAAAAAAAAGACATTATTTCATAAAGAGACTTTAAGAATACATGTGTAAGTGAGGGGCTGATGACTAGCCTGTACAACAGATGAATTTTTGGAATGTTTAATAGACATCTATCATGATTTGATTTGTGGCTTGAGTCGCAAGTTCTCTTTCTGGGCATCTTTTGCTTGACAGAATCCCAACATAGCTCAAGTTCCTGGAGAGTTTAACAATCCTCTTCTGCCAGCACGATGATCTATAAGGGTTTAGTGCTTAGATGTCAGAGTAAGTGTTGATGACACACGGAAGATCTGGGGAAGCATGTTACTAAGTTGATAAAACATTTCTTCAGAAATACTCTGTAAGAGGTTAAAATAAGTTTGTATTTGTTAAAACATTTATTTTTTAATAAATTAAAAATATTTTAAATTATGGAACTAGTTCTAGATATGGAGTACAATATATAAAAATTATCTTTCATGACTGATTTAACTGCACAGCTATGGACAGGGCCTGTTTTCCTGGCTCGGTCCTCTGAGACCCTGTTGTTTCTATCAAATAACAGGTTCGATTACCAGAAAAATCCCTAGATAACACTAGTGTAATCAATAACACAAGTACCACTAATTTTGCTAAGGTCTATATAGAATACACAATCATTCTCTGCTTATGTCCTTATTTATAAACTCTCCAAAATCTACATAAATGGGAACAATTGAAAACAAAGGAAAGATAAGTCAAGTTTGATTTTGGGGTCAAATAAAAGAACTCCTGAGTAGTAGATGCTGACATCTTTGACAAAAAACTAAGCAGCTTTATGGCATACAAACATTTCTCCCTCTAAAAAACAAGAAGCTGTCAGCATTTTGTCATTATATTGAGTTTAGGGCAGTGTACTCACTGTATCTGTGAGGAATATTATAACAGATTAAAGTGGGATGAGAGCTATTCAGATAACACACCTGTGGTACCAGAAATTGCACTGTCCTAGAAATTCCTCCATCCCATGAAGCCATTTCCATCATGAAACCTAAAACAGAACAATAGATTTTGCAGAATTATGCGTTCTGGTCTTCAAACCTACCCATCTTTTACTGAAATAAACTGAATTTTCATTGTGGGGCTTTGCATCTTCAGTTCTTAGATCAAGACATTGGGGCTTCGCCGCTGCCTATATCAGAGGCTTCTGCAATTCTTAATTCTCCATGCCAGAGAGCTTTAATATAGTTTTGTCAACAGATTCTTATGATTTCTCAAGTCCTATTTAGTTTCGATACAGTGAAACCAAAAAAGGTTATTAAAGTCTAATTAAACATGTGGCTCTACTTTTTTTTCTTTTTAAGAAAATAAAAAGCAATAGAGAACTGTAATAGAGCAAAATATAAATAACATCCAAATATCCTGCATTTCAAGAGGGCTGGATATTTGTTTATTTTGTGACTAGAAAAAGATAAGTAAAAAAGCCCATTATGAAATATTTGCTTTTTAAATAAACCATTTAATTAAAGCACCAGATGACAGGAGTAACTCACATTCTCTCTCCTGGGTTGCTCTACTTTTAATATTTGGAAGAAGAAATAAATAGGTCATTGTCAAATATAAGATTATACTCACCTTTGACACATTTAAACACGAGTTCTGCTCTCCTTAAGCACCACGGTATAGTCATTTCCTAAAAACGGAAACAAATCTTTTTAAAAACAGAACTTTGTAAAAAAAAAATACATAGTCGGATTTTAATTTATATATGTTGATCATCCAATTGTGAACAGATTCAGGTAACTATTTGCTAATTTCAGCTGAATTTCCTTTGTATTTCAAGCCTATGAGTTCTTCTGGCTGTTATACAGTTCTTGTGAAATGCTAACTAATTAGCCTAGTAAATATAATTTTTAAATGAACATAACCTTAAAACTTTCTAGATAATTCTAAACAAAAATATAAATGATGTAGAAACTCCACCTACTACTCTCAACGTTAACTTAAATAATTCTATTAATTTGTATATTTGAATAAGCAATTCATTAAAATGTTATGTTATTACAAAAGTAATAGAAATAAACAAATAGCCCATCCCAGTCACCTAACAAACCAAATGCATCCATTTTTCTATGTTCCCGCCTAATCTTGGACCAAGTGAGCACACAAGTGCTAGTGTCAGACTCTAACCAACACATTTATAATTTTCCAGTTATGATCAACGATTATGCCATTTTAAATTTCTTTTCTTTTCACTATCATTAGAATTATTTTCCCATGTTGCAAGTCTTCATAACAATAATATCTTTATTATTTCTACAGCCATGCTACCCTTAACAAGCCCGATCCCGTCTGATCTCAGAAGCTAAGCTGGGTTGGGCCTGGTTAGAACTTGGATGGGAGACCACCTAGGAAGACCAGGTGCTATAGGCATGAAAAATAAAAAAAATAAGGGATTGTAAGCTGACAAGGTCCTTGCAATCTGTGAGGTCAACCAAGGGTTGCCTCGCCTAAAAAACTAAATAAATAAAATGTTTATTATTTCATCACAGTGATTCTCAATCTTTTTGGGTCTTAGGTTCTTTTTATTTTTTATACTCTTAAAAGTCGCTGATGATTCTGATGAGCTTTCGTTAATGTGGATTATATCTCTTACTATTTATTGTATTAAAAATGAAAACTAATAAAAATATTAATTTCATTTAAAAACAACAATAAACATGCTAATGTAACATTTTTTTAATGGAAAGTAAATATACTTTCCATTGAAATCTCATTAATGCTTGGCTTAATAGAAGACATTTGGATTCTCTTATCTGCCTCTGCATTCCATCTGTGGTGTTATCATACAGCATGCAGCTTCTGGAAAAACCCATTGATGCTCATTTAAGAGTGAGAATGAAAAAAACAATAAAGCCTTATTATTTTGAAAATATTTTTAATCTTGCTCTCAGAAGGGGCTGGATCCTGGGTGGTTCTTCAGAACACAATTTAAAAATTGCTATTTATTGAATTAATGTATCATAACTTAAACAGCCCCTTATAGCTAGATTTCCACTTTTTTTGTTAATTACATTGCAATGAACATATTTGTGTGTGTGTGTGTGTGTGTGTGTTTGTGTGTGTGTCTACCTATCGTCTATAATCATGGTTTTGAATGATTTCTTGGGATACTTCTGTAGATTAGTGAAATAAAATTTAGGTTCTTCCCTAAAAGGTTAGATCAATTTACATTAGCCATTAGCAATACACGCACCATCCAATTTCACCATGTGTTCACCAGTATTTGGACATTTAAATATTATTGATTATTTAACATTATTACTAATTTAATAGATCTGAAAGGGTATTATCTGATTATCTTTAAAAAAGAGACTTTATTTTTTGGCAGTTTCAGATTTACAAAAAAATTACAAAAATAGTAGAGAATTTTCATATACTCTCACATCCAGTTTCCCCTATTATTAACATCTTATGGTAGTATATTACTAAAAGTGAGGCTGTCTATGCAACTACCAAGAATAAGGAGAATATATTGTATCAAACGATGACAGGGAAAATGCTTCAGCAACTCTAATTCATTTTGGGTTTTCAATGGTATATATATCTAAAGCAATAGACTACAACTAAATTGTTTTCTATACTATAAAATAATAGCTGTGGAATTACAGGAATTCTGGTCATTAAGGTACAAATACTGAAGTATAACTGAGTATATGCTTCACTTTAAAATATACCATTTTTCAAAAATACCTTGAAAATAATCAGAATCAAGAAATTATTACTCTTTAAATTACTATAAGATACTCATTTTTATATATAACAAAGTATTATCTGACAGTAACTTGTCTTATAATCTATGATTTATTGACATCTATGCTTAACCTTTGAATTATTTCAAGCTAAGGTCAAGCCTAAGAATCACTGCTCACAAATGTACTAATGTGAATTGTAAGCACAGAGCTTCAGCAGGGCTAGCCTTGAACACCAATATTAGAACAGATATTACCCCAATGTGTTAAAATATGGATAATAATGGTAATAATGAAAGACTGAAGCACAAGTTAGCACAGAGATGGTTCTAATGGTTTGATCAAAAGTAGATGGGAAGAAAGGATCATCATCTTTTATCCATTAATACCATACTTTCATGCTTTCTGTATACATGTGATTAATAGCATGATCTAGAACAAATATTTATGAGAGAAATTATGAACTTCGCACTCTTCAGAATGATGTGAATTAATGCAAAGTTTCATTAGAGAACACACCAAAATACTAATTCATGGCAAGATCCCAGGCTATCTTTGAAGTGATAGACAATTTAATTTTCATAGGATATAAGCCCTCATATTCCATTTACTTATCTTAATGCTGCTTATAGCATATAAATTTGAAAGAAAAGATAAGACAGTTGATGCACATCCTACTTGTTTTTAAATCTCTCATTTGCCTACATAGAGACTCCATCCCAAACAACCCTGTCATTTTTTCTTTGCTTCAAACTAGCACCTAAAAAGAATGGCTTTGAGTCCTTGGAAAAGGTAAACTATAAGCTTTAGAAGTCAATAAGGTCATGGGACGTGGTCTGCAGTTGCATAAGGAGCTTTCTTCTGGAAACAAATGTTAGTATATATTTACAGTATATGGGGTACACAAAACAGTAGGTCAGGTAACCGTCGAGAAAATTTTGATCATGGGTTCTAAGTAATGTCCAAGTAACTAAATCTTATTGTCATACCCATGAGAACACACTGTGAAAGAAATCCATTGAAAAAGTTGAACGGATCATGTGAAACACTTCAGACTTGTAACTGAGGCAGAAAATTGGGCCCTACAGCTATACTTTAGATGATAAGTGGGCACTGAACACGCAGAATAAGTTCTAAACATGTGAAATTGGAATTAAAAAGTCAATTCTGATGATAAATGCAGATGGTACCACCTATCTAAAGTTAATAGCAATACTTTGACTACTCGACTTTAATCTTCTGATCAGGGTAAGACTGGACTACAGAGGTGATTAAGATTTAGTTGGTATATACTTTTAGGTCTTTGCTGTATGTCTTGGAAGTCAGATAGAATAATTTTTTGAGTTTACGCTCCCACGAGAGAAACTGCAAGACTATTCTTTACTCTCAAGTATGTGCCTCTGACATATCCGAAACACTTGCATTAATCAGTTTCACAGCCATTATCAGAAGGTGAGAACTAGTATGGGTTTCTCACATTCCACATTCAAAAACAATGGGGTTAAGTACAACTACTTTGGGAAACTATTTGGCTTTATCTATCAAAGTGAAACATGCATTTCCTGATACCTAACAATTCTATCCCTAAGTATATACTCAACAGAAATGCCAACATATATGTACTAGGATGTTCATAGCAACATTCATTATAATAATTAAAACTAGAAACTACCCAAATGTCCATAAGTAGTAAAACGGCTAAATAATTGTGGTGTAGTCACACAATGGAATGATCGAACAGTCTACAACCACAAATAGTAATATAAATAAATTTCACATAATAGTGAGTGAAAGAAGCCAGATACAGGAGTATGTACTATAAGATTCATTCTACTTATATAAACTACAAAAACACATCTAATTTATGCTTTTCTAAGTGAAAATTGTGGTTACCCTTTTGGAGGGATTGTGGCTTACGTGACTGGAAGGGAGCACAAGGGTGGCTTCTGGGGTGCTGGTAACATTCTATTTCATCTGGGTGTTGGTTACATTGGTGTTCAGTTTGTGAAAATTGGGCTATATATTTATGATACATGTAGTTTACTATATGTGTATTATATTCTAATAAAAAGTTAAAAATAAACATCTTCACCAACCACAATTACAACAACTAAAACTCCTTAGTCCCAAACTATTCAATGATTTATAGTAAAAATAAAGTCAGGAATTCAAGATTCTGGACTTGTGGGTTCATTTCACATCTATCAGGTTAGACTGACTCTAGTATGACCTTATCTTCAGATTACAAAGATCTATAGAGATAAAACTGGTAATAATATATCTTTCTTCTTGCTGATAGATGGTTTCATTTCCCTTTTAAAAAAACATTGCAATTAATTTCTACAGCTCTTTTTATTTACTATAGGACACACACTGTTTCAGAAATTATTATCATTAGGCGCACACTAAGACATGGTAACTGAATGTCTAGCAATTCTGTTAGAGAAGGAAAACAACACCCAAAAATGCTCTGAGATCCTTGTAGGAAACCTAAGACAAATACTACCACTACATCCTGTGTAGCGTTGTCTGAGTTTGTAGAATAAACTTCTTGACCTGATGGATGTTTAAATACAACAAATGGTAAGACCATGGCTCAATATACTTTTGTGAATTAAAATGGACACTTTCGAAACAAACTTAATGTTCTGCAGCTGGCTGTCCCAATTTAAAACATGTAACTTTCGTGACCTTGTGGGAGAGGGAATGCTGGTAGTGTCAGATGTCTGGGAGTAAATCTGAATTTAGTGACTTTTGGAAACACTGTTTTTGAGGTTGTTTCCCACCTACATAAGACCATTTTTATAAACTGGTTAACCAGGAGTCCAGCTGCAGGAATGTTTGGATGTTTCCTTGTGGCTAGAATTCATTACAAACTTTCTTTGTTACTCCCCAAAGGCTCTTTTATAGATGGACTAGTTAGTGATGATAACTTAACAATGGCTAAAAATTCCTGATGAAACAAAGACTTTATAAAGCTACAGTCAGGGGAAAAACATGTTTATGACAATCTCTCCTGATACCATATTAGGTATGACTGAGGCTATAGTAGTGAATAGGAAGAGAGATTTGGAAGTCTGATGCAGTTTTCATAGGATGAAGCCAGAATTCTCTTAAAACGATCAGGTGTCTGGTGAAAATACAAATGAATTATAAGTGGGAAACCATTTAAAATCATCTTGCAAAATAAATAAAATAAAATAAAATCATCTTGCTTTACATGCATTGATTTTTTCTGTGTGTTTACATAGGGTATTGCATTTTAAAATGAGGCCTCTTATAATCAGTCTAAGTGGAGACTTAGTCACTCTAAAAAGTAAAACATAAAATCTTTTACACTACATTCTACAATTATAGCATTAAAACACATCTTTCATTTTGCTAAATAACTTTTAATAATCAACAATCAAACTTCTTTCCTGACATTCACAGTGTACACTTACCAATTAGCAATTTTGCTTTTTAAAAAAATGCCACCTCAAGACAAGCAGGCATCAAGTTGCTGATACGGATGGGCCCTTCATTACCAGACTGACCCCTGGTCTTCCCAGAAGCACTTGCCTGTACCAGTTTGTTTTGAGACTGCTTTGTTCTCAAAGAGCATTTAAAGGTGAATTTTTAGTCTTTGTATTATTTTCACAACTTACCCCCCTAACCAGTTTTTGTGTGGGTGAGGGAAGAAAGCAGGAGAGAAAGCAAACGGTTATGGAAAGAGATTTTTACAAAAATGTAAAATAAAGTACAGTATTTAATAAAACGAATGCATGATTATGCCACGTTTTAAACGTACAATCCAATACTTGTGTTATCCAAAGAGCATACCTGAGAAAATGTTAAAATGAAGCTGGCTTCTTCCTGTCATACAGCATCTCTTTCCATTGCCTATTAATGCATACTCAGAGAATGCAAACTAATTGTAATGTTAGCCTAAACCAAATATAAACGTGGAGGCAAATCTAATGCTACTTAAGACAAAAATGGAGAAAGAGAAGGGAGGGAAAGA